TATATATATATATATATGTATATAAATATGTATATATATATATATCAGAACGTAAATATCATTTTGTAAAAAATAATTTTCCTTAACCCACTGAACTTTATCAGCATAACAGATTAATAAAGACAGTAGTCTCGCCAGAAGACTTCTGTTGTCCGTAGTTGCCTAATAGGCAAAGCACCAGGTATAGCGCCGTTTTTGGCAATCTAACCAACTGTAGAAGAGGTTGGGACTGGGCATTGGCCCATTGAGACGCCTACAAGCTTGATGTAGTCCGGATCTTTGTTTAAGATCGCATCTTTTTCCCTTGAGCAGGACAGAGCATCGAGAACGCATTTTGACGGATACGTAATTCCGTCGCTACCACATATAGGGTCGAAGATTAGCGGGCAGTTCTCTTCACAGACTATCTCCCTTTTTTCTGTCCAAACTGGTGCAGTAGTGGTTTCTGGACCTGAAGAATGCAGATTGAATATAATTAATCATTATTAATTATACTGATGGTGATAATGGTGTTGATGAAAATGATGAGGGTTGTGATGATAATGAATATAACAATGGTGATGATGAGAATGCCTGTAGTAAAACCATTTTTTCCATTTTCTTATTATTAAGTCGAAACTTTTTATGAACTTTTTTACCTGTGCTTGTCGGTTGTTTGTTTTGACATCTCAATGGTAATTCTTCACTTGATGACAAAGCACAGTTTATATTCTGCTTACGATTTGTGTTAATCTGTTCTGAAATGGAAGAATGACGCATGACGACGCGTTAATTCTCTGAAATAGAAAACATCAATTCGATCTGCATTTCTGTACAAAGAGCAAATCATTGACGTGATATCTTTAACATATAATTAGTTCCTTTTCCTAAAAGAAATCTATAAACATTAAAATGAGTCATGGATATTCATATTCTTATAATAAATGGACAGACGCCAAAGTGGTAAATCCACATGAAACAACAAAATACCTTTATTAGGCCCCATGGTAGTTTCTTGAAGTGAGTTTAGACTGCGATATCTTTGATGTGTACATTTAACGAACTAAGCATAGTGACTACATCAACAGGATATAGATCATAGAAAGAAGGGCATATTGGCAATCGTCTACATATTTGATACGTACTTGAAAATTTGTTACAGTCATTCTTTATTAAGCTTGGGTTTCCACCGGCACACTTCTTTGCCTTCTGGAACTCACATAAGTTGCGGTACCGAACACCGTACTGATCACAAATCTTCACCCTGCGCGTCGAGCAGGTCTTGTCGCATGTAACTAAAAGATTTTAATAACAATAAACTAAATGTTTTAGAACGCACTTAAAGCCTATGCCTCAACGGAAACACATCTACGGACAAGTCCATGATTGCTGGCTTTTGCCTTCACATCCCATCCACTGACGAGCTAAGACTGTTGACTTTTTACATGCGTTCATCCTTCGTTCTTTTTATTGTGAACCGGTTTCTTTTAAATAAGTTACTCCCTACCTTGAGTGGCTTCATTAGCCATGTTTGGGGTGATTGTAAATAAAGAAAATTACGTCATGCTATGAGAACATCACTAAAATGTTAAAAATTAATAAAATCTAATGAGAGTGGCCACAAAATAAAGTATATATATATATATATGTATATATATA